CTTAAGCGCAGCGTGAGCTCCACCTCGAAAGCATCGCGGATTGGCAGCTGTCCTGATCACGACGGGGTTCAGTTTGTGACCTCCAGTCGAATTACAACACAAAGCGATTGTAATTCGCGCTTTATCACGTTTTTTTCCCTTTCTTCTCCATGGTAGCTAACGTTTGGTTGGGAGCCAAGCGATAGAAACGTGCACTCTCGTCGAAATTGTAAATATATTCTGGCTTGTACTGCTTTGTAATTTCCTGTAATAAGTAGCGTGCCGAACGTACTTGCACCGTAGTGACGGCATCAGCTTCACCATGCAAGCGTTTAGACGAAATACCGTTTCGCTTCTTGAACTTAGCGAGCCACCCGTTGTTGAGTCGGAGCTGGTCATCAGTGATCTGAAGTGCCGTTTTAATGTCTCTCGCCTTCATTAGCAAAATGTCGCCCGAAATAATGGTGTTTCCTTCTTGGCGGTGGAAAAATTCGAGAAGCTGTTGCTCTAGTTCAGGAAACTTGACCCGGCGGTGTCGAGTTGCAGACGTGTTTGAACTACAGAAGTATGTAGGAGGCTTGTAACGGATTCGGCGAATTGTACTAATGCTAACGGACTTCTTAAATTTAGCCTAGACCCAATCAATCACGCCCGCGTTCTGGATATTGGGAGTGCGCTGGATCTTTAAGCTGACCTGCAGCTTCTCGTCCAATGTCAGCGTTTGCAAGGGCGTAGTTGCCATTTTGAGGACTTGGTAGGGACTTGTTGATTGTGCGGCAGAAGTGATAATGTCAGGATTGGCTGAGACGCGTATCCAAATAAAGAGGTTTTCTTCCCAACGTGGGTGTCATTTAGCGAATAGAGAGGTTTTTGTGCAGATAAAGGAGGAGCATATTGAAACCTATACAAATTGTTTTGCATAGCTTTGCCCTATCCTTTAAAGAGTGTATATTCAGTTAGGGGGGTTCAAATAGGGAGGTGTGACTGTATATGATCATGGCAGTAATATCACATAACTCTCAATAAATGATGCCAAGCCAAGGCTCTAACTTTTGGTCCTATTTTTTGTCCTTAATTTTTCAAGGTGTCCGACATTAAACACATCGAATGGCTGCAGTGGCACTGCTAGAGGTCCCGCGTTGAAGATGTCTTCCGGGAGCGGTTGCAACAGCGGGAACTCACTGATTCCTTTACGCTCTGAGTATTCTTTACACGCGTTTTCAGGCAGGTCTCTTGAGAATGGTGTAATGTGGTTCTTAGCTTCTTCCAGTTCACTCGACGAGAGAACTTAAACCGGCAATCGACCGAATGAAGTATCCACCAAACTATCAACTTCTTCTCTTGGGACGTCACACGAGGCACCGAGCTTGTTATCTTAAAATTATCCCCACTTTTGAAGACAAATATGACCTCGTATAAGTAGACACAAGCTTTTTAATAACTGGTTAAGTACCCACCAAACAAATCGACTCACTTAAGTTGACACATAATCTTTTCCCCCGTTTCCTTTTTTCTCGTTTTATTGGTATTCGGATAATACAGTCCAACAAAGGATTCTGTCTTTTGATTACCTTTTCGCTTCTTGTCCGCTTATACACCACCAGTACTAGAACGCTACGCTATCCTAGCGGAAGGAGTTGGCTTCGCCGCCGAGAGCATTTAAGTGCATATCGCGGAACTCGGCTACTGGTACTTGCTGTTGTTGCTGGAATGGATTTTGACCCGAGGCAGTGTCACCCCACTGTCCGTTTGAGAACAAATCATCCGATGGAGCCGATGCTGGAGGGAAGGCATCCCAGGGGCTTGTAGCTACTGACGTAGGGGACGGAGAGGTTCGAGCCATTATACCAGAGGGTGATGACACGTTCGCTGGTAGAGTCGAAAACACTGGAGCGGCGAAGTCGTCACTCCACGATCGATTTGCAGGACTGGAAGGGGCATTCACCGTCATAAACTGCGGAATACCGTGCGGTGGTGTGTAGTTTGGCTCAGTTAATGCGAATCCATTGGTAGGCGACGCCATTTGCGTCTCATTCTCCGGTGGGGGTGGCGGAGGTGAATCGAATGCATCCCAACCGTTATCCATAGACGCAGCCTTGTGTGGACTGCTGTGTGTCGAACCAAACGTAGGCGATTCGCCTACGAATGCCTCAAACGAAGACTTACGCACCGAGCAAGGGGTCTGAACTGGGGAAGTGGCAGCTGCCATAATGGCTTCGGACCCGACATGGCCGCCATTCTGCGCCACAGTCATAAACTGCGCCAATACACCGCCGTCTTCGCTCTCCTCCTCATCCTCAATCAAAGAACGAATGCGACCCGTTGCTTCGTGCATGCGCTCAGCGTAAACTACGCGGCCACGCAGCACACGACGCAGTAATGGAGCCAACGCAGCGTCTCGAGACACAACGAAAGCACGGAGATCACGGATAACCGTGTCAGACAGTCGCGTATACTCCTGCGTCGTGGCTGCGAGCTTCTGCTCGTTACGGAACATCCGTTCCGTGTCCTTGGTCTTCTCGGCTTTCCCCGTGCTAGCTCGCTTCTCGTGCGATTCACGCAACGCCGCCACTTTCCGCGAATAGTGATCATAAATCGCTTTCTGCTCCTGGAAGGCGGTGGCTTCATTCTGAAGGTTTTGAGCGTGTTTCAACCAGCCTTTCACTGGGATCAGCACTTCTTGCTCGAGGCGACCGTAAGCTTCTTGAAGGACCACCATATCCACATCAGCACAAGCCACACGAGCTTCGCCTGCGAACTGCTGCATCTCCGAAGCTCCAGTAGGCTTCTGCTGGAAACTGGCAGTACCGGAGCCACCGGACGACAAACTGTCGATAGCGCCCACCACGGAACTCGCCGCAGAGTGGAAGGTCTTGAGTGATCCAGCATAGCTCTTGAGCGCCGTGTCCAGTGTCGTCAGGCGCTGCAGAGTCGACTCGAAGTCCGAATAGGCCAAGTCATACGCCACGTTCGTGCTGGGCTTGGCCGCACCCAGAGCAGTCAACAGCTTGTTCTTCGTACGCACTCGCAGCGACGACATTCCTTAACTAACTTCTCGGTCAGAAACGACTCGGTCTGGCAATGTCAAAGGAAATCTTGAACTGGTGACAGCAGCTAGTAAGGCCCAGGTATGAAGGTCGAGGCCTATCAATAGTCTGGAAGTCACGGAGACGCAACATGACCTCGTCATCAGACAGCGAGACGACTTGACTAAAAATATAGAGCTTTCTTGATTAAGTGCCGTTCTAAACGGTGCCAGCGTATGAAGGCTGGTAGTGCAGGAACTCCTGTGCGCACTGGGACTCCAGTGGGCAGCTTTTAGCGCACGTATACACGGCGAGCGTTCCCCACTCGCAACTACGTGATGTGATGTCTCCAAGAGAACTTTGGTGGTCCACTCCAAGGTAGTTCAGCAGCTGAGGCAGCACTTGGAACTCGAACTTGCGCTCGCCACCGCATCGCTCACATGGCAGGACATCACCAGTGTGCATTCCTTCTGAGTGTACCCACAATACGGCTTCGTTCTCCCAGCGGGAGTAGCGCAAAACTTGGTCCTTGGCGAGTGCCACGCGTGTAAGGAAGCGCACGTACTGAGGATCCTGGTCCTTGGTATGGCCTAGTGCGTCGTTCAGCTCACGCTGTGTCACATCCATGTCCATATCATCCTCTCCTTCATCCTTCTTGTCCTTGTCTAAAGAAAAGCAGTCAGTCATGATTCAAACATCTAGAAACGAGAATGATCGACTCACTCTTCTCAAACTCGGCCATCAGCTTCGCCTCGTACTCGTTCACTGCTTCTCTGCTGTCTGGTTCATGATCGATCTCCAGATCTTGTTCGGGAAAAACCCACTTGGATCCCTTGGAGATCATCTTCTCTCTAGCCTCCTCCGACTCTACCAACGACTGCGTCTCCAAACTGGCAGTACCAACGACAATCGTTAGCTATGTGTCTACAATGCATGTCCAGCTTTTCTACTCACCATTGTGCACACGTCTGCTTGTGTCCTCCTATCGTCCAATGGTCCTTTTGATGTGCTTTACTGCAGTACTGGGCCACATGACACGCGCTGCAAGTGAACGTCGCGCGTTGTCCGCACAGCGCACAGAGGTCCACCTTGGGCTCTATAGACTTCAATTGCATTGATCCTCCTTCAGCAGCGTAGAACGCATTGTCCTTGGGAAGCTGCAAGCGAAAAGCCTTTCCATCTCCTTGACGACTGCAGCCTGGAGAGCGACATACGAAGACGTACAGGCTGCGGTGGAAGGCGTCCTCCTCGTCGTCAAGTGGACAGTAAATTTGTAGCAAGAAGGACAACGGTGACTGGCACTCAACGCATTGTAGCTGCTCGGTGGACGGAATGCTCGAGGTGGACGGAATCAGCCAACTCGGACGTCCGCCGACCTGTCCGCCGTCCCACTTGGTCCAGTCGGGCTCGCAATGCAGCGGCTTGGTATCGAGCGCCACGGGTTCGTCGCATATGAAGCCCAGCTCCACCTCAGGCGCCTCCTCTTCGTAGTCTAGCACTTCGTCCTCCGAGTCACTCATCTACACAGCAACTTGTCTATTGACAGCGGATGGCTGTCAAAAATGGATGGTGTTTCACACGTAAGTAGTGTGGCTGACACCAAAGGTGCTTGTATTAGGAGCGATATGCTTTGAGCCAATAAGCGAGGTCTGATTCCGCGTCATTGCGGAAGATGGCCTCTAAGACGCTCGTGGTGGCCGGCGCGGGCGTCGTGGGACTCGCTGTAGCCCGAGCTGCTGCATGTCGGGGCTTGGAGGTGCTGCTCCTCGAGAAGAACGCGCTCGTGGGGCAGGAGACTAGCGCGCGCAACAGCGAGGTTGTGCACGGTATGGCAGTTTCCACCACTAAAGAGATGTGGCGCACACAATCTGAACTTCAATCTGATAACGAATAGCTACTTTGTGATGCTGCAGCGGGCATTTACTACCCCAAGGACAGTTGGAAGGCCAAGCTCTGCGTTAAAGGACGAGAGCAGCTCTACGATTTCTGCGAAGAGTTTGGCGTGTCTTTCTCTAAATGTGGTAAATTAATTGTGGCACATTCGCATCAGTCCCAACAGCTACAGTCGATCCTCAAGCGGGGGCTGGAAAATGGTGTGAACGACCTGAGATCGTTGACTCAGAGCGAGGCGCGCTCTATCGAGCCTCTGGTAGACTGCGATGAGGCAGTGCTCTCGCCCTCCACGGGCATTGTGGACTCGCATGGCCTCATGATGGCGTTGCAGGGCGATGCAGAGTCCCATGGCGCCATGGTGGCACGGGCTACTGCAGTTCAAGGAGGAAGATATGATATCAAGTCAAAGACGTTCGTGATCCAAGCAATGCAGGACAGTGAACAACAGGAGGTAGAGTGCGACTACTTTGTCAATGCCACGGGCATGTTTGCACCGAATTTGCTGGACAAGATAGTAGCTCCAGGTGTAGAACGCCTTCAAGCGCTACGTCTGCCTACTATCCCGGATCGGTTTGCAAAGGGCACATACTTCAAGCTCAGCCCAAGGAACCGGCCTTTCACGTACGTAAATTCGTTTTTGGAGTCTCCTGTTGTGTCTTAACGAGGCGATTTATATGGTATTCCTTCTCGTTTAGTCACCTGGTGTATCCGATTCCTGAGGTTGGTGGTCTCGGTGTGCATGCCACAGTTGATCTGGCAGGGAATGTTCGCTTTGGTCCCGACGTCCAATGGATCGACGAGGTCGAATATCAACCCGATCAATCGAAAGCGGAAGAATTTGCAGAGAGAATTCGCGCTTACTGGCCTGCAGCCCGTGCTGAAATGCTAGAAGCTGACTATTGTGGCATTCGGCCCAAGATTGCCATTAACGGCGAAATCTTCGAGGATTTCTACATCGCGGTGGGTGTAATTACTGCGTGCTTATCTCCGCTTCAGCATCAACTAACGCGTATTTGATCTTTCTGTCAAATCAGGATAAACATTCGCATGGCATGCCAGGCCTCGTACACTTGTGTGGTATCGAATCGCCCGGTCTTACTGCCTCTCTCGCCATCGCTGACACTGTTGTCGACATGCTACAGGGCAAAAATTGAAAAATCTACTCAGAGAATGTTTCGTTTTCTATTGTAGACTACACAACTCGTTCAACCTTTCTTGCCAAATCCTCTTTACGAGGCGATGTGGGTCTATCGTCGCTGTCTTCGTCCCAGTCGTCAGCCAGCTTTTTCGTTTTAAAGATATCATCTATGGACTCGTCGTCATCTTCCAGTAGCCCAAGTTCGACCAGAGTGTCCTTCTCAATACGCAGGTGGCGCATGGCTACAATGTACGTCATCACTTGGGCAACGATACTCGCAATACTCAGATAAAACGCAGTACCGAAATCATTCCCTTCATGATGTAGCACAAGTGTCTCGAGCATCCACACGCCTATCAGCGCGGCCTGTAAAATGCCAGCGACCAACGCAGTCATCGCCCCACCATGCACCAAACGCGACTGCAGACTGTCGAAAACTACGCCGAAAAATATCAAAAGAATCGTGATTCCTGCGCACGTTGTAGCCATTCCTGACAACGCGACGGTAGCGTGGCCCGGAGCCCCGCACATATCCGGTAGAAACCTGCTTAGCCACTCTGCAACCTGTTGCCGTTCATCAGCTGAAGCGTGCACCGTGCCGCGGTCTTGGTCTTCATCCCACGCAAGTAACAGCATGTCTACAGGTTCGTCCGCTGCGCACAGACTGCTCGGTGTGGAGCGCTCGGACCGTGAGCATGTTGCGTCGGAGAATCCATGTGCAGCCTGGCAGTGAATGCCCACCACGCCTTCCTGGAAGTACGAGGCGCAAGTAAACGTGGCTTCTGCGGCCCCAGAGTACATTTCGGAATGTAGATTCGCAGACTGCATGAGGAAACTGCGCAGAGTATCACTCACTGTGCGGTTTTGGATCATCACACATGTGCCCCATATCCCGAACACCACCTCTAGATTGGCTGGGATCTCTCTATCGCTTCCGCTACTGACAACGGTGATCTCCGACCAGTACGGTAGTAAAAGACTAAACAACGACAGCAACCCAGCCAGCAGTGAATAAGCCACAGCTTCACGAGAGAATGTTAGACAGCACTCTATCAGTGTTTGAGTTTAGCTTGAAGTGGTGACGTACTTACCGATGGCTCCAGGTCGAGAACACCCCATGAAAGTATCGCCGTTCGGACTAGGCAGCGTCGTCAATGGGACCTGGCAAACGGCGGCGAGGTGGCTAACGACAAAATTACTCTACCGAAACGCCCCGTATTTGAGTTTGTCATGGTTCTCGTTCGAAAAGGGCCGTCGGTCAAGCGAAAAAGCGGTGGCAGTAGTTCTACTGCAACTTCTACGCTGTCAGCTGATGCAAACGCGCGCCAAGTTACGCGAGCAGAGTTCATGGAGCTCGCAGCAGCAGTCAATCAACTCAAGAAGGACTCGTTAAGGCACCAGGCTGTCGGTAAATTGCTAAGAGAGGTAGTTACAATGTGAAGTATCCGGTTAAATCCTAAGTGCTTGTCGTTTAGAAAGTCAACTCGCGAGCGATCTGGAGTTTGCAAATGCACAAATTGCAGCGAACAAGACTGCAATGGGCACGCTGGCAGAGCTAGTGATTGAGAAGACGTCTGGAATTGAGCAACAAGGTGCGACGCAGTTGCAGACACTGCAGGTGGAATCGGAGCAGCGACTCACTGATGTGAAGCTGGCGTTGGAGCGTCTCGAGTTCCGTCTCCGTCATCAAACACGTGACTGCCAAGCACTGAAAGAGCAGGTTGAGCGGCATCAAGAGTTGATGCAGTCGATGCGCACACAACTCGGACAGACACATTTGCTTGTGGAAAAACAGCAAGAACATGCCAAGACTTTCGTAGAGAAGGTGGAGTACATAGTTGCAGCCTATGAGACCAAGGCAATGAGTGCCACTGCTGAGCGTGAACAGAAGCTCGAAGCTTTCCAACAGCGCATTGTGGACTATGTTAAGAAGCTTGACGGGGACACACAAGGTGCGAGTCTACAATTAAGCATTGATAAGGCCATCAAGTGCTTATGTAAATGCCTACCAGAGCCCTTGAAGCAGCTATCGTGGCAATTGCGAGAAGTTGAGATGCGGGGGCAACGTCAAACCGCGCTGTTCCAGCAGGCATTGGATGATCTCGTCAAGATGCGGCAGGCTTTGCATGAACTTGAGAGTCTGAAGGCGCTTGTCGAGCGCGAGCAAGAGTTCCGCGAATACAGACGTAAAGAGGTAGTAGGATCATGGTGTTTAACTCTCAGTTAACCCGTTCATTGAACGTCTCTATTGCATTTTAGGACACTCAACGTCTCCACTCTGTCGAGCGCAAGATCAGCAAGGTGCTGACGATCGCCGAGAGAGGAGTAGAGAAGACGGAGGTCCAGCATCTCGTGTCGCGGCTTGAAAGCAACGTCAAGACGCGCGTCGAGGCAGTTCTCGAGGTACGTGCTGAAGCAGCAGAGATCGTCTCAGCATGCACGTATTTCGAACTCACACAACGCTCCAGTTGGTGTCGCTATGCGTTCACAGCCTCGGCGTTACAACCCGCACGTCTTAGCGCCTCTCAACAGCACGTACCATCCTAAACGTACAAGTACAATGCTGGATTACGAGCAACGCTCGTGCATGTAGTGCATGCACAGCCCCCTTGACAATGCGATAACCAGTTGTCTCAAACAGGCTCGCACGCAGCACGTCAGACCGCGACACGCTCTTCATGCTGTCGAGGGTGTCGATCTAGGCGCACGTCAATCCCAGCATCGCATTTGCGGGCGCCAGCGTGGAATGCGAGCTGAATGTGAGCTGCCGTGCGTGCACGAAGCACCGCTTTCTCGTCTCACGCGGCGGACCTGGCCGCACTGTCTGCTGGCCGTTCATTTGGCGCGGAGTCGTTCAATTGCGGTCACTTCCGGATGTAAACGGATTATTCGACACACCAACAAGCAAATGACGACGACGCTGGCTGCTTGGGGCGGAAGTTTTCATGCAGCGGAGCTCGTCATCGTTGCCCAACGCTGCCAGACGAGGCGGCGAGGCATTGAAACACCCACCGCTGGCTACTGTGCGACGAGGCAGCAACGACCGACGTCTCGACGCAATTGCGACGGCGCGAACAGGTCCAGTGATCAATCGGGCAAACAGGGCTCGCTGGTATCCAGTCCTGAAGTCGCGACGGCGCGAATGAACATCGTCAAATCAGATTTACGACCATCGAGAAGTTGAAGTTCTGCCTGCACACCTGATACAGTGTATCGATAATTGGAGTTCATTCTAAAAGCAGTGCTCTTTCAGAAAAAGCGTCAGTACATTCCCATACGTTAAGCCGCCCGCTCCCCCCCCCCCATATCGCCGGTGAGAATACATAGGTGTACTTTGCATTACATCGCGCTCATACGCCAGGATGCGAATATTTTTCGCCGCTTGACCACTTTTTATCTTGCTGCTGTGCAGTTGCACTAACCAAACATTCACATCGCTCGGTAAGTACAATCACCATTCCCAGGAATCATCCGTCTTTCCTAATCGTTTTTTTCCCTCCAGGGTTTTCAACAGTCAAATGATTGCTCCCCTGGCATTCGTCGGCTTCCCAATTGATCAGGTAATTCTACGGCTTTTGACATCACCGACAAAGATGGAGGATGTGGTGCTGTGCTTAGAAGCGCAAACAAGCGTCCTCCTTAGCATCCCTGGCTGTAGAGTAACCTGTGCCTCTAGCAACTCGAGAGTTGCTCTAAATATTGGTCTCACGAACCCGTTGACGTGTAGTCGCTGATGGCCCATCAGCGACTCGTAGAGAGCGCTGCTTGGAAGCAAACAACTTCAATATGAAGCGACTTTGGATAGCCGCGGGCTACGGCGCGGCTCAAAGCACACGAACGACAGCACGACTGGGATGGTCCAGGGCCGAAAAAGTGATGAATAGCATCCAAGTCAACGCCGTTCAGTTGGTTGATTCCGGCTATCATAGCAACCACGCGTTGAGCTGCAACTGTGTTCGCGGAAGTCTACATCACGTCGGCTGCGTTGCTCAAAGCGGCGACCTGTTGAGGCGCAACAGGACGTCAGTTTGTGTTGACGTTCTGAAAATGGGCACAGCGCCAATCACGCGCTGTAAGTTAGTCTTTCACCTTCGCGTTCCTCGTCCGCAGATGTTTAAGCTACTTGAACCCCAACCAGTTCCGGAGGAACAGAGGCGTGCACTTCAAGCATGAATCTTCGGCGCCCCTGCTTCGGACAGCGCGCGCGGGTGAAAGGGCGGGGCAATCGGCGACATGCTTGCTGCCTTGGAAGCGCCAGGACGCCACGTAGCATCATGCTACTGCCACGTTGTTCGCCTCCGCCCTCGCTCGGCACGTGGCACCAGCGAGCAATAAATTGCAATCGCTTTGAAAAATATCTTCGGATCCTCTTGTAAAGTACTTTTCTGCTGCGACTTCATTAGCGATCTTCGACTCTACAGCAGGCATCCCGCCTAGTACATGAGACGCGAAGATCGATGGATCGCAACTCAGGTGGCAGGATGCTTTTCTCATTTCATGGTGCCGAACATGGCTTCAAAGACCAACTGCAAATGGAGCGTAGTACGCAATGTGAAATTTTGATGAAGTTCATCAAAATATACATGGTTCGAGCTAGCCAAAACGTTGAATATCGCGTCGAATGTCTTCGACCTAGCTAGTGGTGGCACGATCTCGCAGACTTGACAAGCACGACAATGCAGCGGCACGTCACCTAGGGTGGACGACGCACTCCAGTCCATTGTCGAGGCGGTAAGCCATACAGTCAGACAGACAGGCAGAGTGGACTACAGAAGAGGCGAAGGACGGCGCCGGCTTGTTTTCTTGGCAGTCTTGAGTCATGGTCGGCGAGAAAGCGATCCACAGCCACTCAAATGAGCTCGACCAGCTTCTCATCACTCGTCCCCGCGCTTGCTCCAACCAGACATGAATAGCAAGTTCCTCCTGCATTCGAGCAACCTGCAACGCGCTGCCATCGCTAGAAACCCATCGAAGTTGGATTCTAGCAATGGCAACTTGCCATGTAGCAGTAAAACCGAAATGATTAGCTGAGATGGCTTCACTACACTCTTAGACGCTCCAAACAAATTACGAGTATGATTCTGATAGCATGCTACCCCAACAAACCTAAAAAGATCGAGCGTATCCAACAGCAAACTACATTGATTTAACTGCGTATAAGTTATCACGTCTTGATCTAACACGTAAATATACCTGGCGCGCTCTAGCATTCTGCACGCTTGTCTACTTGAATAGATAGTGGGGAACTCTTCCTGCTCGGTCCAGCCCGATTACGGATGAATGGAGGAGACGGCGGCGTGGCGCAGCGCAACTGATAGGATCAGCGCCTGCGTCTGTCTGCAAGCAAGCCCGACGCAGCTGCGTCTGCTTGTCCTCGGTCTCCCGCAAAGGCCCGCCATTCATTTCGGAGCGAGGGGGTTCTTGGCTGTGATCGCGACCATAGTCTCCGGACGTGTTCGGTGGACTTGGGGTGGATCGATCGCTTTCCTCGCCGCTTCAAACGCGCTCACTTACTTCTTGCCAGAGCCTGGGGGCGACTCACGGTCCTTCTGGATCCAGGCGCTCTTGAGCAGGTCGATCTCGAGGTTCGTCTGACGCTGCTTCTGAGCGTCGTTGGCGTCCTTGGTGGCAGGCTTCGGGGGCATTGTTTTCGCGTCGGATGGACTGCAGGTGGACAAGTGTGTCGTAGAGCGCAAATTGCGTTTTGAGCCGACTTGAGCTGTGGCACGCAGCGCAGCCAGCCCTGTGCTTGACGACGTGACGGGTTGGCTCCTGAAGCTACAGGAGCTCCAGAAGGATTGGGATTGTTCCTCGAGGTGTCGACACGACAACTTCTTAGCCCAAGCAAATTTCCGCCATGCGTTAAAAGGGCCAGCTTAATCAACCAACTCGAGCCTCGTGCCACGTTGGACGAGCGGAACACGAATCGATGGAGTGGCTCGTAAGCCGACCAACATTGTTCATCGGTGGGCGGACTTTTATTACCTAACTCAGTGATTTTTTAAAGGACGATAATACTTTACGGAGAGTTCTCTCCACCTCTTGACGAACGTGCATACACAAAACGCTTTTGCCGTCAAAAAAAAGTAAGTTTGCCGCAGCTCCAGCGACTGTGGCTCGTCCAGGGCCGCCCAGGAGCGCGAGCTTGGATGTGAATTATTGACGCTGTAGCCCGGTCTAACTAAGCTCTGGTCTGGTGCCGCAGAAGATGAGAGCAGCCATCGTTGCTGATTCTTTGCTAGTTCAGACGAGCGCACGGGGACTTGTCACCGCCAACTTCCGCCGTCTCGTTCATCTCCAGCTTCCAGCCAACCATGTGCGCACGGACGATGGTCCGATGGCAGGCTTTTCCTGCTGTACCGAGTCGGGCAGCGCTTGATTGACAAGCGAATCTTGCATCACGTTGTAAGTCGCTGGTGGACATGTACACGCATAACAAGTGTACACGAACACGTTCTCTTCATAAACGAAATTTGTGCGCTGATCTGCTATGTGGCGCATGAAGCTGGTATTATTTTGCGTAGATCTTGGGCTGTGAACCACACCGCAATTTGAATTCCAAATCGATGTGCACTTCAACACCGGGCAATGTGCAAAATACATGTATATGCGCACCCCGGCAAGTTTCGCTGCACGCTACTTCCAAACACGACTCGAATAAGGATGGGCTAGCGACTTGCTCGAACACGCACTGCATTGTGGCGCTCTGGTGCTCAGATGAGGTGACATTGACTAACCAAACGATGAGAGCAGACATTGTCGATGCACTTGCTTGCTAGTGACGGTTGGTGGCGGTGAGCCAGTGGCTCCGCTTTCAAACAAAGACGGAAGATGCTTTTCACCTGCTGCGAATTCGCCACGCTGGCAACAAAAGGTATTTACATGCTAAGTGGTGGCCACGTGGAAAGGATGCATTGGATGGAGCGCATTTGCAACACTCACCACGTCAAATTTACGTGCGCGTTGGGCTTTGCTGCAGTACCTTGGCAACATAAGGTGACAACATTCACACACTATTTTTTTTAATACGTGCACTGTCCTAGTGGAGATGGATGTCCGTTTGCGACCGCTGTTAACTCGGCCATTTAGCCTCGCAATCGTCTTCCACCATCCAGATGTTTGGTGGATTACCGCCCTTCCTGGCAGAAATGTGTGTGTTAGAAGCTTAGCGAAGGCGATCGTCAGTGTTGCTTGTGTGATGGCAGCATCTTGAAGCACACACTACGGATGAAAAGGGGAGCGCGATTTTGGAGCTCAGCAATGAAATGTAGGCCTGATATCTTGGACACGAACACACTCAACTCCATTGTATCATTCCGTGCAAACCTTAGTCATCAGCAAGTCATGTACACTTAAAAGTTAAGCAGAGGGAGGGACAACCACAACTCGAGTTGGTTGCACACCGACGTGCTCAAAGGTATTACTACACATCACATACAGTATGATTTAACTAATTTATTTTTTCGAGAAGACTGGGATTACGATAAACATCATGGATCACGCCACGTGCATGGGTAAAGGGGAGCCCAGCCTCCGTTGTTTCGGGGTGAACTCGTCCTGGAGAGATCATTACACTCTCTTCGGTGGAGAATACATCGCTGCTTGCAATTGGAAAGGCCCGCGACTTTATTGACGCAGCTTATTAGAGCTATCAACTTTCCTCTATTTAAAGTGGCGTTCAGCATCAATCAGCAAGTAGTTGTCTCTACTTGTAGTTGCTGTTCCCTACTGTTTCAAAAGTCTTGATCTTTGAAGTAAGAGACAGCTCGCAACAAGTAGCCAGAAGAGAGATCCACTATACCGCCTCCCTTCGTCATAAAGCCGCACTTAAATTTTAACTGTAGCAAATGAGTCTACCCACGGACTTTGTCGAGGGAGGGGTGGACCTTTACCCAACGGTATGTTACTTCGAGATCGTACCCAAGGGTATCCTGCTAAGCATCGCTGTTTCAAGCAGTGCTTGGGACAAATTGTCCTGGACAAGACAACCAACAGCGCTGCCACTTGTGATGTCCGGGGCATGAATTGATGCTTTCCGCCGCTGGCCCTTCTCGATTGCCGCTCCCGAGCAGAAGAGGCCGCCACTCCGAGATAGCTACAACGCGCCATCCGGGTCATCTTGCCTTCAACCTCTGCATCGTAATGGCTGCTAACACAGACTGGCGTTGGCCAAGCACGCTCACAGCCACACACGCGTACACTTGATACGGCGACGGTGGCGATCCTTGCTTACACCACCACCCTTCAAGCAGTGCGAAAGGACGCCCCCCTTTCATGTCGCGGTAGTGACTGCAAAAGTGCCTACCAGCAAAGCGCGCTGAAGTTGCGGAGAAGCGGTCCAAAGGAAGGCCACCGTCGTGTTGGCGGCGCTGTGGTCGTCGCTGCCGAAGCTTGCGATGTCCTGGCAGGTCTCCTGCATGTGTAGAGCCGAAGAGATTGTGCCTACAGCGATGTGCACCCTAGAATCTAGGCTAGATAGACACAAGCAGGCTGTAGCTGCAAGTGCAAAACTGCAATACAAACAATGAACAACGAATAAACCATGTCAACGTACGGTATTGTGTATAATTTATATCATGGTGTGCTAAATATCTCCCGGCAGTCCCTGCAACTGCTCGATTCCTCTAATAATCTACGACGCTCGGGTGGTCGCTGTGTGGGGCAACCGAGGACGAACTCGCTGCCGCTGGCACTTCGACAGCTCGCGTTGATGGCTTCGTTTCCTCCTCTGGATGCGCGTCGCGTTCCCCTTCATCTTGTGACGACCGCACCGTCGTCTTCTCTTCTCTGTGTGTCTGTCAGTGTGTGTGTGTGTGGTAATTCGCGCAGCCTTCGCAGACCGCGTAGTTTCGATTTCCATGTGTCTCTTTTCCCTCCACTCGCTAAGCCGGCGGAACGAGACCTCACTTGGCGGCCGAGAGCGGGGGCGCCGAGTGCGCGCCGTGCTGCTCGCGGTCCTTACGGATCCAGGCGCTCTTGAGCAGGTCGATCTCTAGGTTGGTCTGCCACTGCTTCTTCATGGCGGCGTGGTCCTCCACGGTGGCGCCTTCGACGGAGTGGGCGGACTTGGGCATGCTGGCTGTTGCTGCTTATGGGAACGAGAACTGCAAGTTGCTGTGGCCTGAAGACGGCAAATTGCGATGTGAGCTGGAAGCTGGAAAGCTCGGGCAGACGCGTCGCTCGCTAACCACCCGCACGGTCGTCGCATCGTCGTAAACGTCCACACGTCAGACGGTGCGTACCTTCTAACCCCAACCCAGATGGAATCCAGGCTAAAATGAGCCTGAAAACACCAAGGCGCCCAAAGCAAAACGGTGAGCTCGATGGCGACACCCCGTGCGTGCGCGGGTTGGGCGAGAGCGTGCGCACTGGCACTGCTGTTTGCTGGCTGCAAAGGCTAATTCGGGGTGACCATGCGCGGAGTGAAGGGCGGCGATCCGCTGATTGAGGGGTTTTGAGGTCGGTAAAACCGAGTCCTGTTTACGATAGATCCCGACCATCATTCGGAGAACCTATGCTACAGCATGATCAAAATGTACCCGAATACGGAGTTTGTATTGCGGCAAATTGCTGGAAACAGCAAAAAGGACAACTCAAGTCGCAGTCGTAGGTCGTCGAGACATGGCTGCGCTCCGCTTCCTGCATCGTTATTCGCTTGGCAAATAAATTTGTTAGCTCAAGGAGGCCGTATCGTCGTCGTGGCAGCTTCAACTTCACAGAGCGCGAGGCAAATCGCCCGGGTTGTACGCACTTCTAAATGTCTGGGTTGCATGTGTGTGGTTCGACACGATAGTGGTCGTCCTAAAGTGGTCGTTTTAAACCCACGCAGACTTGATTTTTCAGTAAGAGCTTATCTGGGTTCGCTTGCCACTGCAATGCCCGTAATACCGCTATCGATATACCTGCAACTAAGCATCGACTCGCATGGCCATCGCGATGACGGCCAACTAAGACTGAGACGGCCGTAGCCACGAGGACACGACGCACGAACACGCTAGCCAAGCTCCCGGCCGCTGCGAACGAACGGCGGAGTGCCATTTGGCGGGGCCATCGCGGGCAATGCGTGGCGTGAGTCCTGCCGCGTCAACTCAGCAACGACACAGTGCCGCCGGCTCTGATGGCACGACAATACCATCTGCCGCTGGCGTCGGAGCTCGGGTCGAGCGCTGTTGGCGGCACGGGTGCCAGCTGGGTCGGAGCACGTCGACAAGAAAAGCTGGTGCATTGGAATATGACACAGATGCGACTACGCTCCAGCTCGGCGCCCCACCGAGATATTTGACGCCTTCCGCCTGGAATAGCCTACTAGACAGCATTTGTTGCCTTTTAATCCCAGAATACAGGTTTTGCGACGTTTGAAAGTCAAAGTGGGACTGGCACTACAACCAGGATCAGCGCCAATAAGTCGCTCGCGGCGGAACTTTGCTGGCGCTCACAATGCGTCGAAGAAGAGGTCTGCCACCACGAATCTTACGGCTAATCCTGATTCATGAGCTCAGCGACATGCTTGCCTCGCCTTGAAGACTCAGGGAGGCATCCCCCTATGGCAGCGCCCCCCAACACAGACAATATATTCGACGCCGCTGCACTCATACGCTGCCGACCAGTCATTTGCGCCTAGATAGTCGCGCTCACCCGCTCACGAAGGTTCCTGCGCTTACAACCTGACCGTTGGTCTGAAACCACCACCCTGGTTCAATGTCCTGCACAGTAACTGCACCATTTTACTTGGAGGGATGTCGAGTCGAGCTGTATACTGGCGCCGTTCGGTGACATGTTGGTGTGTGCATGCAGTCACCCTATATATACATGTGCGTAAACGGACAGTGCTGTCACCGCTGCAGATAACAACAAGCGTAGCCACGAAACTTGGCGTGTCTGCCCATGCGCAAAACTTTCAAATCCGTCGTCGCCTTCATCAAAGTTTGCAATGACAAGGCTGGCTGCATCGATATTACTGTAGCACTGCTTTACTATAGCCTTGCTGCGGTTGTGTTGCATCTTGCACTCTACATGGACAATGTAATTGCAGGTTGTCGTGCATCTCGGTGAGGCTACTGGCAGACGGAGCGGATTCACCTATATGCCGTGTTGACAACGCTGTTGTATGCACGGATCCGCTGAGGCAGAGTATTACGACCACCGCAGCCTAAGTGCCGTCGTTGGGAGTTCATGTTGCACGCCAAGCTAACCCTCACTCGCCTTGCCTGTCCAGGGCTCCCCTATCCAAACAGAAATTTCATCGTGGTGAGGTCCTTGTTACGTGATGATAGCGCCATGATGGCGAATGTATCGATGTATGTAATGCATGCTGCGCTGCTGGGTTTGGACCATATTTAGCGAGGTTGGATTTTTGTGCGCGGCCCCATCGCAAAACCAAGTCTTGCCACGCGATTCTAATGCCACGCCCCTACTGGGACGCATGATGCCGCATCCGTGGCGCATCATTGATGCGCCACGGATTCATTCGCGCACCGAAAACTCGTAGTCGTCGACGAGCGGTCTCACAAGGCTCATCTGCAATGGAGCTAGTGAGGTGACTGCAACGTGGAAGTTTGCACTAGTAGAAACCCGACGATCCAGGGCGCGGCTCAACATGTTCGCTTGGCACCCCACAGATCATCACCATGATGTTCGAGCAGCGATATTTTACCACACAGCGATCGAACGACCAAGATCAAGTTGAAGAGATCAAGTTGAACACAGCATTTCTTGAGCTCACCAGCAGTTAAGGTCGAGCTCTCTATCAGTGCAACGGATAGTCCGACTACGTAGGCTGTGCTCACTAGACGATAGGTAATCCTGTTGCGGAGTCGTGTATTAGAGGCCACAAGTCAGGCAGCTCTCAAGATGCAATGTCGAGATTGGTGCATCCTCAGCACATTTATCCATAAGTCTTCACTTTCGATTTTTTTTAGCTAATCACTACTTCGACGCCTAAATTTAATAGGGCCAGGACAGTTATTTTGTGCTACAATACTCGAGTTGAGAAATAAGCTAGTAACCATGTAGGACGTAAAGCATTTCTCAAGTCATTTGGTAATTGACCGAGACAAACGATTAGTGCTGCGTGCAAGTTAATTAGGGAGAACACCAGACCCAAGCTACTAAACTGGCATTTCCGTTGGGTAAGAAATAAATGGGGTGAAACTTGGTTATGTAAAGTAGAATGCATAACCAACTTTCACCCCATTTACAAGAGGCTGTCGGCATTTGGCTGGGAGGCTTGGGACTTCCCCTGGCACGCTTAAGAATCGGCATTTCATTTTAAGAAAAAATTTGAGGTGACCCACATTTCGAATATGATTGGGTATAATCCAGATGAAGACCTTCCGATTGGTTTAAAATTTTAGGGATTGCGCATCGTAAGAAAAGTAAAAAATAAATCACATGAAAACGTCAAAATGTAACGAGCTCTAACGAGGGGCCAACAGGTTCTTTATGCCTCTACATGTAGAGAATTGTCTCCTGATTAAGCACATACAATTTTCGTCTTACATTACCTAATATTGCGACCGTAATGCAAAAAAACTACTTCTCAAGAGTTCGCCGTTCAAATATACCGATTTGTATGTCAATCGTCGTGCAGTGTGCACGGTAAATTCCCTGAATGCAAATATTCCAACTATACAAAGACCAAGTAAATTCGCTATAATGAAAATTATAGCAGATATCTTCGTGCAAACTGCACGACGCGTATTTTGTTTTGTTTTTGAAAGGAAAAAAACAAAATAATAACAATTTGGGCCTCTTTGACTAAGTAGTAGCATTGTCAATACTATTTATGGGGTATTTTGGCTTTTCAGTTCTCTAGCTAGCGTCTTCCACGATAGCTGGTCCAACCTTCTTCCCCTACCTTTGCTCGACGATGAAGAGAAAGGAAGACGGTTAACAACCTGGGTAAAGAGAATTCCAGCCGAGTCCAAAGAGCTGTAGGCTCGGTGAATTTCGTCGTTAGATAGTAACGACTCGACATGCTTCATCAACCTTTGAAGCTCAGCTAGGCGAACTT